CTCTCTCTCTCTTGCACACACACACACTCACACACACAAACACACACACACACACACACACACACACACACACGCACACAACGCCAACAAACGTGCACGCAGATACGCAAACAACCACTTATATACAGGGTGATTAAAAAAACTAACTGTACAACCTTTTTCGTTAATATTTTCCTCCACACTGAAGTTTTGTGTTTCAAATTTGTACACAACGTTTTGAAGTCAAAAGGAATTCTGATATTCGTTTCAGGTAAATCCACCTATTAGTTTTGCTCTATATAGCATGTAAAAGAACATAAGCAATTGATCAGCTATATGTCCCCATTGTTGTAGAATTATAGAACGCTCTAGTTTACATATATGGCCTACCACTAAAAAGCACAACGATTGCGCCTATGCAAACTGCTGCAATCTAACAGGCCAACAGAAGTTTGAATATACATGTAGTTTTCCTAAGTTTCCTTTGCTTGCACTTGCAGACATCATGGTTAAGATTTCAGTAAAGAGAAGAGAGCTTTTTGTATTTAACATTTCCTCACCATCAACTCATTTCGTAAGTTTCGCACAAGGTAGGGAAATAATGTTAAATCCTAGATTATATAGGACTTCTTTGATGTCAAGTGTGGAAAAAGTCCATCAGTTAGGACATGTAGAGAATCAGAACAAAAAATTCCTAGACAAAACGACCGCTTCAAACACACACCCTTTGTTCCCCTTTAAACGTCAGGTACACTGCAGCATTCATGGAGCCCCATAATGAGACGTCTGTCGTAGACGATGCCTGCAGCGACTTTCCTACGTCTCAACGGTCCGCATTCTCAAGGCATATCTTCATCTACGGCTGTACCAGTTTCCCGTTTGCGAAGCTATCAGAGGATATCAATGTGTTCATAATTCATCGATCGTTTGAAAAACATGAACACTTCCTCAATGACATTTGGTCACTAGTCTCTTGGTAAAGCCCATATTCACCTTTCAGGTTATATCAACTCCATAAATATCTGTCTACTTGGGCACCCTCACCCCCACTCGTTTGTAAAAGCCGCTCTTGCTTTAAAAGCTATAGGGTTACTTCCGAAAACGATAAATAGTGCCCTCACGACGCCATTGTTTTCGGTCTTCAATTCCTCACAGGTCACGTGGTACAGTTCCCGTTCTATAAGTGTAGAATTCTGTGGTTCACACACAAATATCGGGGTCACTTCGAACAAAGAGTCACGGGACCAAGTCACAAGACTCTCCGAAAAGTTCCGAGCAGACATCGTGTTTTTCCGTAAACCAGTCGACTGAAAGCAACCCACCAAAAAAAAAGTTAATTACTTGGCTATTACTATTAGGCCAAGATCTACTAATATTACTGACAAACATCCGTGTTTATCTCTCTCAGTATATATTTATATAATGCACCACTTAGATTTTGACCGTATGCCCCTACATCGACAACAAGACCGACATTATTCGTCAGTCTTGGTTATGATGACCCCGCTTGATGAGAAAACATAGAAACGAAATACATGCGTACTTCGTGAGTCACACTTGAGTGACTCTCTCCGAGAGAGAGAAGAGAGAGAGAGAAGAGAGAGAGAGAGAGAGAGAGAGAGAGA